AAGAGAGAAGGAAAGAGACGGGGAGAGAGAGAGAGAGAGAGAAAGAGAGGGATATATAGAGAGATAAAAGCAAATTCATTGTGATGTACCCAACTCATTAGCATCAAGCGTGACAAGAAGAGCTGGCCCAAACCTGCCAACAGTGCAGGCGCCGTTTGATGTTGTGTAAGCTACGCGGGATACGCGCACGTAGCATGATTCGCAGGACAGCGTTCGAAGAACAAGGAGCGAGGGCCCAGGTTCAAAGAGGACCTGGGGGTGGGAACAATGAGCATGAGAAGGACGCGAGGGGGACCGAACAGTCCGCGCGGCAGCAGCAGAGAGAAGGTGACAGGGGGAGGTGGACAATAACGAATGCGACGGGAGGAGAAAATACAGTGCTGCTTTTGCCGGTAATATGCTAAAGATACAGCACTGCCTACGCCATGTCGCCGCGGCGCTCGAAGATATCAAATCTGCTTCTGGCTAGTGCAAGAAGCGAGCGGGGCCCAGCTCCCCCGCTAGCTTCTCTGCTTCCTTCCTGCACTTTTCAGTGCGGGAGCTAAACGATCGAAGGCGCCCCGCCAGATCTGCGGGCGGCCCGCGGGCAAGGAAATCCAGGCCGGGGTCGCGTATCGTCAGGAGGTTGTCCAAGCTGGGAAGACGGGTCCAGGCTGGTGGTCCGCGGAAGACGTCACTTTCCTGCACCCCCCAGCAGCCCTCGCGATTTGCGACAGCATCGCAGATCGCAGCCCCACAGGGATGGCGAGGTCTCCTGGTGGTCCGCATAAGGCGTCACTCTGCTGCACCCCCGAGCAGCCCTCGAAAGTGGCGACGGTTTCGCAGCTCGCAGACCCCCGGGGGCAGCAAGGTCTCACATGAGTTTGGGTAAGACGTCGCTCCGCTGGACACCCCAGCAACCCTCGAAAGTGGCGGCGGTTTCGCAGATCGCAGCCCCACAGTGATGGCGAGGTCTCATTTGAATCTGGGTACAATCACTCTGCTGGACCCCCCTGCAGCCCTCGAAAATGGCGACAGTTTCGCAGATCGCAGCCCCCCAGGGATGGCGAGCTACACGTTCGAAGACGCGCCGCCAGGTCTGCGGGCGGCCCGCGGGCAAGGAAATCCAGGCCGGGGGCGCGTATGATCAGGTTGTCCAGGCTAGGAAAAAAGGGTCCAGGCTGGTGGTCCGCGTAAGACGTCGTTCCGCTGCACCCCCCAGAAGCCCTCGAAAGCGGCGACAGTTTCGCAGATCGCAGCGCCCCAGTGACGGCGAGGTCTCATTTGAGTCTGGGTAAGACGTCACTCTGCTGGACCCCCCGACAGCTCCTGAAAGTGGCGACAGTTTCGAAGATCGCAGCCCCCCAAGGACGGCGAGGTCTCATTTGGGTCTGGGTAAGACGTCACTCCGTTGCACCCCCCAGCAGCCCTCGAAAGTGGCGATAGCTTCGCAGCAGATCGCAGCCACCCAGGAATAGCAAGGTCTCACATGAGTTTGGGTAAGACGTCACTCCGCTGGACCCCCCAGTAGCCCTCGAAACTGGCGGCGGTTTCGCAGATCGCAGCCCCACAGGGATGGCCAGGTAGGAGGCAAGCTGGCACGCAGAAGGAGCGAGGTGAGAGGCAGGAGAGAAGAGGAGAGGAGACGGGAAGGAAGGAATGAAGGAAGGTGTGCGACCGCAGTGCTCTATTCAAAACGAGCACCCAAGGCATGAGGGTTGGGAAAAAACGAGATAGGTGAAGGGAGAGAGATACAGAGACGACGACGACGTCATCGTTTGTGGGTGAGCTCGTGGGGCGGGCGCGTGTGCATGGGAGTGTATTCCTTGATCACTAGGTACCACATTTGAATGTATACGGTTTTCCCCTCTTCTACGCCTGCGCCCCCCTGGAGATCGAAACTCCGCAGGCCACACCCACAGCTGTTGATGGCACCTTCCTGGACGGGCATGTGGTCGCAGCTGGTATTCGCTGTGATGCAGCATCTTTTTTGGCACCGCCATGCTTCGCTGGCACCGCCACAAAAAAACCCAGAGCCTCGCAGATATCGAACTTGAAGTCGTTTGCAAGGTTCGGCATATGGCGTTTTTTTGGTTGCCCTGGGGGGGGATTCTCGTCGCCGCGGCCGAGCGCAGCGGAAGAAACGGGGGCGTCGGTGCCCAGGGAGATGCCAGGGGAAGAGTCTCGAATGGTTTTGGGCGTGGGGGCACCTCTGCTGTCGAGTTTTGACTCTCGACTCCTGGGTGGAACGTCGATCTGGGGGCTCAACAGGGGGAACGTGGTTCGCGGCTTCGAGGCGGCAGCTCGGGCCTTCAGCGGCCTCTCGGGGCGTCCCGGGCGCCCCGGGAGCGCTCTCGGCGAGGCGCAGCTGCAGGTAGGCATCTCACTGCGAAGAGATCTCCAGGAGCCGACGCAACCGCCGCGGACCGCGATCCTCCAACGTAGACTCTGGGGTGGCACGTGGAACCCCCGATCGGACCGCGATCAGGGAGGAGGGAGGAGGGAGGGGAGGAGGGAGGAGGGAGGAGGGAGGAGGAGGAGGGAGGAGGGAGGAGGAGGAGGGAGGGAGAGGAGGAGGGAGGAGGGAGGAGGGAGGAGGAGGATGGAGGAGGAGGAGGGCTCGAACGTAGACTCCAGGGTGAAGCGTGTGCGTCGGGATCGGCATGTCCGGGTGGCAGCTCGGGCCTCCCGCGGTCGTGCCGGGGGCGCCCCGGGCGCGCCGCTGGAGCGCCTGTCGGCGTGGCGCAGCTGCTCCCTCCTCCCTCCTCCTCCCTCCTCCCTCCTCCCTCCTCCTCCTCCCTCCTCCCTCCTCCCTCCTCCCTCCTCCCTCCTCCCTCCTCCCTCCTCCTCCCTCCTCCCCCTCCTCCTTCCTCCCTCCTCCTCCCTCCCTCCTCCCTCCTCCCTCCTACCTCCTCCCTCCCTCCTCATCCCTCCTCCCTGATCGCGGTCCGATCGGGGGTTCCACGTTCCATCCCAGAGTCTACGCTGGAAGGCATGCCTCGGCGAGCGGGCTCCCAGGCGACAACGAAGCCGCTTCGAAGGGCGATCCTGGAGCATCGGCCGCGGGGTAAGACATCGAGTTGGAGGCTCATCCAGGGATGGATGCGTCGTGATCCGCATCTGGAGGCGGCAGTTCGGTCCTCCAGAGGCCCTTGGGGGCGATCGGGGCACACGGGGAGTGCATTCGGCGAGGCCCAGCTGCTGGCATGCATCCCGCGGAAAGCGTATCTCCAAGAGCCGAGGAAAACTGGGAATTGGGGTGAAACACCCAGCCGGATGGGGCGGTCTGGGCAGCGTCGGAGAGCCCTCGGCGAGGCCCAGCTGCTGGAAGGCCTTCCGCGGCGAGCGAACCTCGAAGAGCAGGAGAAGCTCGTGGAACAGCGATCCTCGAATCTCGTCCCTAGGGTGGGGTCCGTCGAGGTGTGCGCTTGGATCGCCGTCCTCGAGGGATGCGTCTGAATCGGAATTTGAGGGCGGAGCCAGCCGTTGGCACGACAATGGTTCTGGACGGCGACAGTCAAGGGAAGATCACCAAAGCCAGTCCTCCTCCTCCTCCTCCTCCTCCTCCTCCTCCTCCTCCTCCTCCTCCTCCTTTTCCTCGTCCTCCTCGAAGTGGGCTTGGCGAACGGCGATCGCGTGCTTTTACGGGACGCAACTGGACTCGAAGACACTCTTGGATGCTCTAGAATGACGGACAGAGTCAAGGAGTGTTTTGGAAACACCAGAGGGCCGCGGATGTGGAGCACACGTTTGGAGGCCCTAAGGGACTCTAGAGGCGTCTTTAGAGGTGACTCTAGAAGGGCCTTCAGATGGGCTTCGGAATCTAAAGGAGGGGACACGCGACTCTAGAGAGGGAGAACGCTTGCCCCTAGAGGCGTGAGCCTAGCATGTGCCTTTGGAGGATACATGTTCCCAAGATGGCTCTGCAGCATGATAATTCTACACGTAAAAACATGTGTACATATACACGTATGTACACATACATACATACATACATACATACATACATACATACATACATACATACATACATACATACATACATACATACATACATACATGCATACACACCTACACACATACATACATACATACATACATACATACATACATACATACATACATACATACATACATACATACATACATACATACATGCATGCATACATACATACATACATACATATACAAATGTATTGTACAAATGTATATACTCGTGTGAACATGTATATATATATATGTGTATGAACCATGTGCACGCGAACACATACATACACATATGTATAATGGACGCATGGAACGCACTTCGCGCGCGTTCAAGCTCTAGCTAGCCAGGGAGCCAGGGCTTGGCACGAAAGATGGACCGTGCCATGATAAGCCAGAACTGCAAGGTCCCGATGGTGTATTCCAATCAGATAAAGACCTCCTTGTAGAGGCTCTATGGCCTCCCAGGGATGCTGTGTAGCCGCAAAGTAGAAGATCTTGACATTCGTCGAACAACAACGAAACCGGAAGGATATGGGCTAAATTTGCGGCAACGGCAACCTTCTTGGCGCACTATTCCGAACTTTGGAGGGGGAAGGGGCGAGGATGGATACGGAGGAACAAAAGTGCGTCTGAGAAAAAGGACGTGGAGGAGCAGGAACATGTTGCTTTACGTCGCGGCGCGGCAGCGGGAATCCGCTCGCGCGAGTAGCAACACCAGGCTACGGAGTCGCGAGTTAGCCCGCATGCAAGAGCGGAAGAAAGGGGAGGGAGGGGCGGTCGCGGAGGGAGGGGATGGACGCGGGGGCAATTCCACTCCGAGAGCCGCGGGAAGCGCCGCGGGGAGCGCGCCTGGGCGGCAAGGCGTTTAAGCAAGAACATGCAGGAACAGGAATGATGACAACGCAGAGCGAGGGAGAGAGCGAGGGAGGGAGAGCGAGAGCGAGAGAGAGAGAGAGAGAAAGCTTTGAGGGAGAATGACGAGGAAAGGGTGAGGAGTAGAAGGACGACGAGGAGAAGAGACTCACCGCCGCCACCTGCCTTTGAGAGGAGCCCGTGGTGTGAATCATCGCATACCGATGCAAAACTCCTCCCGCGGTGGTTGATTTCTACGGGGCCGCTGGGCCTTCTTGGGGCCTCCCGGGGGCTATCCCATCTAAGCCTCCATGGAACCCTCTTGAGCTGTCTTCGAGCCCTCGGCCCGTCTGGGTCCCTTCGAGGCCTCTTTTGTGAATCTCTTGGGGGCCATACAGTCAGGGCGTTGACCTAAGGAACCCTTAAGTAAGGAACGAGGCCCCTTTCTCCATGGGTCAAACTTCGATTTCCCGTCGAAAACACCAGGAAAACCTGAGGCAAGCTGTGAAACACTTAAGGAACACGGAGCCCCTCCCCAACAAAAAGGGCTCCTTCTTCAGCGACCCGACTGCACTGGAGACCCATTGACGCTCTCTTGGGATGCCCTGGGGCACCCCTGGGATGCTTCGGGCCCTTCCTTGGGCGGTCTGGAGGCCAGCGGGGGGCACTCGCGGGAACCTCCTGGGCTGTTTTGGGGCGGAGCTCCTCCTGGCCGCCGTGGGCTCTCCCAAGGACGGAAGGCGGCAACGATGTAATCCCTCGAGCACCTGCAGCAAATCGGTGAGTCGCGTCTCTCCGGATCCTCTGGGGCGATACCCTGGACCACTCTTGGGTCGCCACGGAGGTCCCCAGAGCCTTGCTGAGCCGCCTCTGAATGCACTTCGGCCGTCTTCTGGGCATCTTTTCCCTCCACCCTCCAGCACCACCGACTGTTCTCCGGGTCAACAGGCTGGGCCTCAACTTGCAACGCCACCTCAATCTTCTGCCGCCAGCATGCGCGCCTGCGCGGCCTGAATCTTCGCGGCCACCTTCTCGCGGCGCTGCTTCAGCGACAACTTCACACTGCGGACGTGCTCGGTGCCGTCGGAGCTGGTGACCTTGTTGCCCTTGTGATCGTGGCTTACGTCCTTCTTCTCTTTCTCTTCTGGGGAAGGGTCCTCCTTGATCTTGTCATGCGCATCGCTGTACATGTCCTCGAGCTTGTCCGCGTCAATGTCAGCCTCAATGTACTTGGCGAAGTGAGCTTCGTATTTCGTCGGGTCCTCTTCCGCAAGCATCTCCATGTACTCTTTGACGTGCCCGCCGAAGATGCGGTCCTTGTGCGCTTCCGCGTCGTACTCTGGGTCCTGCCCCTTCTCGTCGGGTGCCTTGTACCCGGGGAAGTTCTTGGTGCTGTGGGGGATGTGGAGACCACCATCGACGGCGCCCTTCAACGCGCCCCACATGCGCGCGCCTGCGCAGGTGCGCCTCAGCCCCACGTCCAAGATGCACTTGAGTGGACGCCTCTCGTTCTCCTCATCCTCAACGTGGTATTCCTCGCCATCAATCTCCTCCTTACCCTTGAAGGTCTCGTCAAGCCCCATGCTCTTGAGCACGCGGCGTGCAGCGAGCAATCCAGTGCAGTAGCAAGCCGCGTAGTTCTTGTAGCCAGCAGGAATTCCGTACTTGGCAAGCTCGTGACTGCTCGCTGCAGCAACTATCATGTCACCACGGATGGTGGCGTATGCGACCTGGCAGATGACCCTGCTGTTGGTTATGCGCACGATGAACCGGTACTTCTTATTGTTGAACTTGTTCTTGTCCTGCCGCACCATCTTGCAGCGAGCATGGAAATCAGTCTTGCCTTCACGCCTGCGGCGCTTCTTGACCTGGAACCGCTTGAAGTAGGCCTTGTTCTTGAGAACCTTGACGAATGCCATCTTGCGGGAGAATGTGGCAGTCAGTCAGCCACTTGCTCGGCCGGCAGAATGTCTGCAGCGCTCTTGCTACCACCTCGAGCCAAAATGGCTACGGAGGCCGTCTTCAGGGCATTGTGGGCCGTCTCATGTTAGTATCGGGCCACTTTGGGGAGCAACTTGTCGCATTCGGAAGCGATCTTGGGGCCCCAAACAGCGCGGCACACCAATCTCCTGTCAACGGGCTGGCCCAGAATGCATCAACGATGCCTTTGAAAAAGAACCGTGATCCATCTGTGTAGTTGCTGCACAAGTTGAAGCGTCGACTCACAAAATGCGAAGTCAAGAGAGAGCTTCGTTTTGAAACTGGCCGCTCAGCATCCGTGCATATGATGGGACGTTGCAAAACGAAGCTGCGCGGCCCCAATTCAAAAACCACATTTTGAAACCGACCTGCCATCCATCCGAGCAGTTGCTGGAAACTGCCAAGACAAAGCCGCGTGACGCTAAGGCGAAAGCGACATTTTGAAAACCATCCACCCCCTGTGCGTGCAATGGTGGGCAACTTTGATGACAAATGTGTGCGCCGCGCAGGCGAGGTCCACATTTTGAAATCGGGACGCCGTCCATCCGTGGAACTGCTGGAAATTGTAGGCATCAGGATCAGAAACGGCGAGAATGTCTCAGGTGAAACACCCATCCCGCCCTACCGACGCGTCTGGTGAAGCGACGAGGATGCATTATCCCGCGGACCCTTGAGGGAGCGACTCGGGGGGAGAAGCTGAAACAGACCCAGGGGAGGATTAATAATTGTAGGAATTAAAGGGATGACCACAAGCAGCAGCAGCAGCAGAAAGATAGTGGAAAACGTCCCTCGCTCGGCGTACCATTTGTACTGCCCATCCCTCGGGGACAACCTGAAGCGCAGAACAAACAACGTCTGCATGCGCTGGGCGCACGCTCCTGTCAAGGCGGAAGGGATTAAGGAAGGGTCCGCGAGCCTTCGAAGGGGCTGCTCTTGGGCCCAGGGCGGGCTTCATGATATACACTGGTACTGTCTGGGGGGAGTGGCGATAGAAGTGGCGAAAGTAATGGACTGGCCCAGAACACGAAGTAATTCGGGTGCTTTCTTGGACCGTCTGAAGGCAGCCTTGAGGGGCCCAGGGGACTGGCGAAGGAACACGACGAAGAGCGTGTCAGGTGACGCGTCCAAGAGCCTCATAGGGAGGCTCTCGAGCCGCGCTGGGGTCGAGGCGGCGCCTGCCTGCACAGGCACGTGCTGATGTGGCCAGCTCATGGTCTGCGGCAGGGGGCATTTTGCAGCACCCGCAAGCCGAGCTCGTGGCAGTGAGGGCCTCAGGGTCGGCTGACCGCGGCCGAGGGGGTCCAGAACACGACGCAGAGACATGCATCACGAACCACCTCACGCAATACCTGAAGATGGCAACTTTGACACACACACGCGCACGCACGCGCATACACACACACACACACACACACACACACACACACACACACACACACACACACACACACACACACACACACACACACACACACACACACACGCACACACACACACACGCGCGCACACACAAACATACACGCAGGCATGCACGCATGCATGCATGCATACATGCATACATACGTACATACCTACCGACCTACCGACCTACATACATACATACATGCATACATGCATACATGCATACATACATATACACCCACATATATAAACACATAAATACATACATATGTACATATATACATACATACATACATACATACATACATACATACATACATACATACATGCATGCATGCATGCATGCATTCATACATACATACATACATACATACACATATACATATACATTTACATATACATATACATATACATATGCATATACATATACATATGCATATACATATACAGTTGCATATACATATACATATATATACGTATACATATACATATACATGTACATGTACATGTACATGTACATGTACATATACATATGCATAAACATATACATATACATATACGTATACATATACATATACCTACATACATACATACATAAATACACACATACACACATACACACATACAGTCATACAGACATGCATACATACATGCATACATACATACATATATACACACGCACATACATACATGCATGCATGCATGCATCCATACATACGTACAGATATGCATGCATCAATGCATGCATACATACATACATATATGCATGCATGCATGTATGCATGCCTGCACGCATGTATACATGCATACATGCATGCATACATACATACGTACATGCATACATGCATGTATGCATACACACACATGCATACATACATACATGCATGCATGCATGCATGCATGCATGCATGTATACAAGCACACATTCACACACGCATACGTGCACGCATACATACATGCATACATGCATACATGCATACATGCATACATGCATACACGTATACCTGCATGCATGCATGTATGTATACGCACATACATTCATGCATACAGACATACATACGTACGCACATACATGCATGCATACGTGCATGCAGACTACCTACCTGCCTATCTGCATACAGACAGACAGACAGACAGACAGACAGACAGACATACAGACAGACAGACAGGCAGACGAACATGCATACATACATACATGTCGACCGACCGATCTACATACCTACATAAATGCATACATGTATGCATGCATACATACATGCATGCATGCGGAGAGTGAGGGGATAACAAAACCATATCAGGGATGGACAAGAGGGAAAACACACACCAGATACAGCATGGGCCTCCGAAGCTTGAGCAACAACAGTGACAACAACCAGAGCATCGGGGCGAGAGCACGCACAATTCGAACACTGAGCTAGGATGGAGATAATGATGATGAGGAGGAGGAGGAGGAGGGAGATGAGGAGCAGGAGCAGGAGGGACAGAGGGATCAGCAGGAGGACGGACGGGGAGGAGGACGAGCGGGGAGGGTGGAAGTGGGAGGACGAGAGGGACGGGAGCGCAAGAATAAAGGGAGAAACATAATCTGCCATCTGTGCTCTGGGTCAACACGCCATGCGGGCAGCTCGCAGCGCCTTCTCAATCATCTGCCGCCAGCATGCGCGCCTGCGCGGCCTGAATCTTCGCGGCCACCTTCTCGCGGCGCTGCTTCAGCGACAACTTCACACTGCGGACGTGCTCGGTGCCGTCGGAGCTGGTGACCTTGTTGCCCTTGTGATCGTGGCTTACGTCCTTCTTCTCTTTCTCCTCTGGGGAAGGGTCCTCCTTGATCTTGTCATGCGCATCGCTGTACATGTCCTCGAGCTTGTCCGCGTCAATGTCGGCCTCGATGTACTTGGCGAAGTGAGCTTCGTACTTCGTCGGGTCCTCTTCCGCAAGCATCTCCATGTACTCTTTGACGTGCCCGCCGAAGATGCGGTCCTTGTGCGCTTCCGCGTCGTACTCTGGGTCCTGCCCCTTCTCGTCGGGTGCCTTGTACCCAGGGAAGTTCTTGGTGCTGTGGGGGATGTGGAGACCGCCATCGACGGCGCCCTTCAACGCGCCCCACATGCGCGCGCCTGCGCAGGTTCGCCTCAGCCCCACGTCCAAGATGCACTTGAGTGGACGCCTCTCGTTCTCCTCATCCTCAACGTGGTATTCCTCGCCATCAATCTCCTCCTTACCCTTGAAGGTCTCGTCAAGCCCCATGCTCTTGAGCACGCGGCGTGCAGCGAGCAATCCAGTGCAGTAGCAAGCCGCGTAGTTCTTGTAGCCAGCAGGAATTCCGTACTTGGAAAGCTCGTGACTGCTCGCTGCAGCAACTATCATGTCACCACGGATGGTGGCGTATGCGACCTGGCAAATGACCCTGCTGTTGGTTATGCGCACGATGAACCGGTACTTCTTATTGTTGAACTTGTTCTTGTCCTGCCGCACCATCTTGCAGCGAGCATGGAAATCAGTCTTGCCTTCACGCCTGCGGCGCTTCTTGACCTGGAACCGCTTGAAGTAGGCCTTGTTCTTGAGAACCTTGACAAATGCCATCTTGCGGGAGAATGTGGCAGTCAGTCAGCCACTTGCTCGGCCGGCAGAATGTCCGCAGCGCTTTCGCTGCTTCCTCGAGCCAAAATGGCTCTGGAAAGGGGCGGGGGAGAGGAACACAAAGATAACGGGAATCATCAGGGGAGGAACGACAAGCGAACCATGAAAACGAGAGGGTCCGCCAGCCCCCTCTGCAGGGCCGACAGCCTGCTAAGGCTAGGGTAACACGGCTCTCGGCCTTGTCGGCTCCGCCGGGTGCCCCATGCCATTGAAGTCGAGCTGCGAGGCCAAAGGGGGTTGGGCCGCAGGAGAGGGCGATGAAGCCAAATACTCTCTAGAAAAAAATGCCGCCCCTTCCTGCCGTTGGTCACCCCTTGCGCAAGTTGACGAAGTCGTCGAACCTCGCGCGCCCATCCTCCACTGTGCTCGAGGTTCGGAGATTCGGCGGCCCCTTGGGATTCTCGGCGTGCGAGATGGCTGCCCCTCCTCAACCCCCGGGAGCGTGGATCGGCCAATGTGGAGTCGGGTGGGTGGAGTCACGGGCGCTGGCGGACTCATCTCGGCAAAAACAAATTCCCACGCGACCCGCAAGAGGACCACCTGACGCTCAAATCACGGATGTCGATGTCCCACCCAGAAAACAATGATTCTGGGGAAAAGCCCCGATCATTATCTTTTTAAGGCTATAGGGCTACGGGGCCATAGGGCTGTAGGACCATAGGGCTATAGGTCAATGGGGCTATAGGGCTGTAGGACTACAGGCATAAAGAGCTATAGGGCTATAGGGCTATAGGGCTATAGGGCTATAGGACTAAAGGACTATAAGGGTTATAGGGCTATAGGGCTATAGGGCTGTAGGGCTATTAGGGCTACTAGGGCTATCAGGGCTATAGGGCTATAGGGCTATAGGGCTATAAAGCTATAAAGCTATAGGGCTATTGGGCTATGAGGCTACAGGGTTATAGGGCTATAGGGCTATAGGGCTACAGGGCTACAGGGCTATAGAGCACCCGGGCACCCCCGGGCACCTCTGGGCACCCCTGGGCAGCTCCGGGCAACTCCAGGCACCCGGGCACCCGGGCACCCGGACACCCCCGGGCACCCGGGCACCCGGGCACCCAGGCACCCCGGCACCCAGGCACCCGGGCACCCCGGCCGGCCACCGAAATCGGCGACGCACCTCACCTCACCAAATAAATCCGCTAGGACCCCTACAGAGCCAAGCTCTGATTGGGGAACGAGTTTACCAACACGTTACTTGTTCGGTAGCACATGCAACATGCATCCATCACGATAGCCCCGATGTCATGCATCATGGACCCCATATTCCCCCACCCCCGCGCAACAAAGTCGACCGAACACCTTGTCCCGAAACACGTCGCGACCTTCATATCGCACGACACGTCAATATCCGCCGACCCCAGAGACGTGTGCAATTCAACTGTCCACTAGTTGAAGCCTACCACCACGTCTGATCACCACAACGTCTTCCCCCCACCACGCCCTGGCATCCTCGAGAGACGTCGATTCTAAGACCTCCACACGACGATTTCTGGCCCGAAACCGACTCACACACCCCACCACGATTCCACCACGCCCCAGCACCACCACCCCACGGGAGCTGCGTTCTTGGGACCCCCACCACGACTATTTGTGGCCCGAAACTTACCGACACCCCCCGCCGCGCCCCCACCGCGTCATGGCACTCCCACCTCACGCGACCTCATGACTTGGGACTCCCCACGCGACAATATCTGACCCAAAACTTACCGACACCCCCCACCGCGCGCCTCCACCACGTTAAGGCAGCCCCAACCCACGCGAGCTCAGTTCTTGGGACCCCCCACATGACAATGCGCCGATCCCAGAGGCGTGTGAGGGAACATGCGTGCGTGCGACGCGTACCCTATTCTTGAGACCCCCCACCCGACAACTTCTAGCCCGGAACCGACCCTGCGGCCCACCTGGTCAGACCCCGCACCGTCCTGGAAGCTCTGTTCTTGCGACCCCCCCACCCGACAATGCATAGCCTGGAACCGACCCTGCCGTCCACCTGGTCGGACCCTCGCACCGTCCTGGGAACTCTGTTCTTGGGACCTCCCCAACCGACAATTTCTAGCCCGGAACAGACCCTGCCGCCCACCTGGTCGGACCCCCGCACTGTCCTGGGAACTCTGTTCTTGGACCCCCCCCACCCGACAATTTCTACCCCGGCACCTACCCTGCCGCCCACCTGGTCGGACCCCCGCATCGTGTTGGGAGCTCCGTTCTCGGACCCCCCCGTCCCGACAATTTCTAACCCACAAACGACCCTGCCGCCTACCTGGTCGGACCCTCGCACCGTCCTGGGGGATCTCTTTGTGGGACCCCCCCACCCGACAATGTCTAGACCGGAACGACCCTGCCGCCCACCTGGTCGGACCCCCGCACTGTCCTTGGAGCTCTGTTCTTGCGACCCCCACCCGACAATTTCTGGCCCAGACCGACCGTGCCGCCAAGCTGGTCGGACCCCCGCACCGTCCTGGGAACTCTGTTCTTGGGACCTCCCCAACCGACAATTTCTAGCCCGGAACAGACCCTGCCGCCCACCTGGTCGGACCCCCGCACTGTCCTGGGAACTCTGTTCTTGGACCCCCCCCACCCGACAATTTCTACCCCGGCACCTACCCTGCCGCCCACCTGGTCGGACCCCCGCATCGTGTTGGGAGCTCCGTTCTCGGACCCCCCCGTCCCGACAATTTCTAACCCACAAACGACCCTGCCGCCTACCTGGTCGGACCCTCGCACCGTCCTGGGGGATCTCTTTGTGGGACCCCCCCACCCGACAATGTCTAGACCGGAACGACCCTGCCGCCCACCTGGTCGGACCCCCGCACTGTCCTTGGAGCTCTGTTCTTGCGACCCCCACCCGACAATTTCTGGCCCAGACCGACCGTGCCGCCAAGCTGGTCGGACCCCCGCGCCGTCCTGGGAGCTCTGTGCTTGGATCCCCCCACCCGACAATTTCTAACCCGGAACCGACCCTGCCGCCCACCTGGTCGGACCCCGCACCGTCCTGGTGCTCTGTTCCTGGCCCCCCCGCAACCCGACAATGTCTAGCCCGGAACCGACCTTGCCGCCCACCTGGTCGGACACCCCCACACCGTCCTGGGAACTCTGTTCTTGGGGCCGCCCCACCTGACAATGTCTAGCCCAGCAAAAACCCTGCCGCCCACCTCGTCCGACCCTCGCACCGTCCTGGGAGCTCTGTTAACAGAGCTCCTAGGACGGGTGGGGTGGGGGGGCCCAAGAATTCTCGGGACCCCCGCACCGTCCTGGGAGCTCTGTTCTTGCGACCCCACCCGCCCGACAATGTCTAGCCTGGAACCGGGCCTGCCGCCCACCTGGTCGGACCCCCGCACTATCCTGGGAGCTCTGTTCTTGGGACCCCCCACCCGACAATCTGTAGCCTGGAACCGACCCTGCCGCCCACCTCGCCCGACCCCCGCACCGCCCTGGGAGCTCTGTTCCTGGGGCCCCCCCCCGACAATTTCTAGCCCGGCACTGACCCTGCCGCCAACCTCGCCGGACCGCCCCACCGTCCTGGGAGATCTGTTCTCGGGGCCGCCCACGCAACAATGTCTAGCCCAGCAACAACCCTGCCGCCCACCTCGTCCAACCCTCTCACCGTCCTGGGAGATCTTTTCTTGGGCCCCCCCCCACCCGACAATGTCAAGCCCGGAACCGACCCTGCCGCCCACCTCGTCGGACCCCCGCGCCCTCCTAGGAGCTCATGTTCTCGGGGCCCCCCGCGCGACAATCTCTAGCTCCGGCGACCCCTCAGGCGTGCGAGGCGAAGTCTCGGCCAGTTCTTAGGACCCCACACACGACAATCTCTGCCCAGAAACCTACCCACGCGCCCCACCGCGCCTCCACCACGCCCCGGCACCCCTACCCCACGAGAGCTCATGTCTAGGGACCCCACACACGACATTCCCTATCACACTGGAAGCAATACAACATACTCCATTTCAGAACAAAAAAACAGGCGGCGGAGAAAAAAAAACTGAAACAGTAACTGACGTATCGAAAGACACGGCGGCAAGGCGAATCAACGAATTCAAATCAGTTGGAACTCCCAGTAAAAATTTGGCGGCGAATAGTCTTGTGACCAGTGCGGAATTATTCAGGCGGGCTGCGTTTCGCAATCCGTTGAAAAAACTACAACGAACATAACAACACATAATGTCTTAGGCGGGCGTGGGACTCTCCCGATAAATATTTGCAACTCTATTCAAAAAGCGAACAGCGTGACGCGGAAGTGCGATATGCTTCAATTCCCAACCAGACGAAACATTTCAACCCGCCCGCGAGCGCAACCGTAATCGCAACTAGGCAACAACAAAATGGCGGCGGGCTCGCCGGCCAAAATCAGTTCAAAATGGCAGCGGCGGGGGGGGCGCCCCCCAGTCAGTACTGCAGTGAGCACCGAAGAAACCGTAGTGATCATTCCCTGGCCCGACACCTCCCCACAGAACCCACCGCGTCCGCCGCCCACCTCGTCCGACGCCCGCACCGTCCTGGGAGCTCTGGTTCTTGGGGCCCCCCACCCGACAATTTCCAGCCTGAAGCCTACCGATACCCCCCCACCATGCCCAAGCATCCTCGCCCCCTGAGCCTCTGGTTCTGGGGACCCTCCACCACGCGGCCACTACGTCTGACTTTCTCTCGGAGCTCTCTTCACGGGGCCCCCCACCCGACAATTTCTAGCTGGGAACCGACCCTGCCGCCCACCTCGTCCGACCCCCGCACCGTCATGGGAGCTCTGTTCTTGAGACCCCGACACCGACCCTGCCGCCGATCCGACCCCCGCACCGCCCTCGGAGCTGTGTTCGTGGGACTCCTCGCCCGACAGTATCTGGCCCGGAACCGACCCTGCCGCCCACCTCGCCCGGCACCCGCACCGTCATGGGAGCTCTGTTCCTGGGACCCCCCCCGGCAATGTCTAGCCCGGAACCGACCCTGCCGCCCACCTCGTCCGACCCACGCACCGCCCTGGGAGCTCTGCTCTCGATCGTCTCGAGACCCCCCACACGACAATGTTTAGCCCAGAACA